AGAGAAGAGAAGAGAAGAGAAGAGAAGAGAAGAGAAGAGGGAGAGAAGAAGAAAATTTCCCAGAGATATGGGAAATCTCTGCTTTATCCCCTGGGCTGCCCAGGAAAGCTCCCACCACAGAGCCCAAACACCCTTTGTTCCCTGCTGAAACTTTTCACCTGCTGCACCCATTGATTCCTCTCAATCAAGAGGAATCAATTAATGTGGTGTGAAGGACACACCGCATTAAATTAGGGCAGCTTTGGCCATGGAGCTGGTGTGGGTTTGCCCTCAATTGTGGAAGGCTGTGCCAGATTGAAAGCTGCCAATTTGACCTTGGATTTCCTGCAGGAAACGACCTTGCTGGCAGTGCCCACCCCAGGGAAAAGGGCAGGAGGTGAGTTCAGGTGAGGGGCTGAACAGGAGATGGAATTGGGAGTGTAAGTTGTTGCTGGTGAGGTTTTAAATGAGCAGGAGAGAAGGATAAGCAAAGCCTGAGGGCTTCTGTCTCCTTGCTCCACAGGGTGGTAAGGAATGGAGTAGCTGAGGACACCTAATTAATCATTTTGTTTATGCATAGCAGGACTGCACTGTCTCCTGGGACACGCTGGTCTCACTCGGTGTATCCCAGGGAAGCAGGAGATCTCCTGGGAATATTTAACTTCATCTGCACATCCTTGGCAGTGCCTGAGGGGAGCTTCAACCACAAGGATTTAACATATATATATGTAAGTACTGTATATTCCAGAAATAACTGTTAACTACCATTTCATCCGGGTGCTAGGCTGAAAACAGAGCCAAAGCAAAAATAATTCTGAATTTTTAAAAACAGACCTGACAGCCCTGAGAAGTTCCTGGTGCTGCAGCAGCTGCAGCATTCCCTGTGGTTCAGGTCCTGTCACATCTGGGCTCCAAACTCCTCTGGGCTGCCCAGGGGCTTTTGCAGTTGCTGATGCTGGAACTCTCTGGGGGAAGAAAAGCAGGGCAAGTGACAGAGCTCACCCTGGGTCAGGAGTGGATCCGTGTGCTGGAAAAGTCTCTCCTCCAACCTGAGCTTCCAAAGAAAGGCTCAGCAGTCTCTGTTGTTGGTCTCAAGGCAGTTTATTGCAAGTTATCTAAAAGATTTTCT